TAGAGCTCATAAAATTTCCTACCCCCTCAGCCCCTTAGTCTGACATGAGAGAAAATGCTGGCTAGCTACTATTGGCACTCAGTGCCCCCTGAACCAGCTATGCAAAAACATCTTGCAATGTATGGGTCATTCTTGCTCAAGGGAGCATTTTGCCCTAGAGGCCAGTGTGTCATGATAAGAAACCTCCAGGCCACCGTAGGGAATCCTGATGTTTCTGGCATCCCTCTTCTAGCAGGGTCTGATTGTCTTATCCCCAATCCAAACCTGACCTCCGGAACCTGCTATTGATGCTGCTTCCAAAGCTTATGCCCGAAAATTAAATTCCTGCCCTCCTTTTCTTCCCCTGCAGTGTCATCTGCAGCTGAGGCTGTCTAAGGAAAAGGCTAACCTTCCTCTTAGCCTGAACAATAACCGCAAAATGATCGGCCCAACATGGCCACCATTGTGGTGGGAGAGGATAAAAAGAGCATTCCCTGTGCCAGGCGCTTCCCCGCGGGGCTGGCCAGGGTGGGAAACCCAGTGGCACATACTTGTGGAGAAAGTATGAAAGGAGTCGTGGGTAGGCGAGTGGAAAGGATTGAGGAAAAGCCTAATAACATGGTAATAAGAGATAACAGACTACAAAACCCCAGCGAAGCCAGGAATGAAAGAGCCCAGTCCCTCACAAATGCAGGATTGAATGAGTTTCGTGTTTAATGTAAATACACCTGCCATTTGTTCTCTGAAGCATTGGTTACAGGCTTGAAGATAAAATAGAGTTTTGAACATTGCGCCAATATTGTTTGCCTCTGCCCGTGCACTGACGGTACACGGTGTTCCCAAGCAGCCCCTGGAGACATGATACTGCTCTGGCCAGCTTGCTGGTCTCGCCTTCCGGAGGTTCCCTCAGCTGGCTCTGCTTCTCCCCAGCTTTCCGCTTAGACGCCTGGGCTGCTCACAGAGCCCAGGGAAGGGAGACAAATGGCCAGGAGTCTTTCCCCTTTCAGTTCTCTGCACAAATCAGCCTTAAATGGCGCTTTGTTAGGGATGCTTTCCCCTAGCCCACCCCCACGCTGGAGAGCGGTCCCCCTATTCCGTTTGCTCATGGCGCCCTATACTTTTCCTCGTGGCTTGTGTCCCAGTTTGTAATTATATACGTGTGTGATTACTTGATTAATGTCCCCCTCTTCCATTGGACTGTGGGTTCCAAGGGAGCGAATCTGCTTTGTTCTCCACAGTAATTCTGGCACCCAGCAGCTGCCTGACATGTGGTGGGTACTCAATCAGTATTTTTCAAATGAATGGATTATTGAATATATTACAGATACGTTGGAAAATAAAAAAGCAGTTCTAATCTTACAATCAAAGAAAAAACACTTTCAATTATTTTTTGGTGTATGACTTTCCTGATTCTCTTTCTAACCTATGAAATAATATTATGATGCTCACATATTCTAAGCAGGACTAAAATATTCATTACATCTGTTGACCATCGTTTTACTGAACATGATTCTTGTTAGACCCAAATTTGATTGCATGAGCTATGCCTCGTGAACACTGGCGGAAAATAATAAAAAATGATATCATGTTCGCTTTTCCGGTCTCCATTGTACCTTGTCCCATAGGAGTCTCTCATGTGAAGTTGGGACCGGCTGTCCAGGCAAATGGAGACGTGGCAGATGGAACCCTTCTAGACCACATGGGGAGAGCTCTGGCCACGGGAAATGGCTGTGGTTGGTGGAGGGGAAAGCGGTGGGGCCGTTTAAGAGTCGCCACCTGCTCCTGGTGGAAGCAGCGTTGTTGTGGGCAAAGCCACAGTGCCTGATGGCAGAGCTCTGCTGGCTCAGTGATCTGGGCAAGCAAAGTGGCCTTTTGGGGAGCGGCTGGGGCTGCTGGGGTGGTGACTGAGGGTGGGAGAGAATCCCTCGGTGCTGCTTGCCTAGCCTAGGGCTGGGCAGGGGCTGAGAGAGCTGGCCCCAAGGCCAGGGCCATGGTTCCCAAACCAGGAATCACCATCACCATTCATCAATCCTGACTCTCGTGTAGCGCCCCCTGGTGGCTGCCCCCTTGCTAAGCCCTGACCCGTGGCAAACCAAGCCAGACTCAGGCTGGAGTTGAGTGAGTGGAACAGGAGGAGGTTTGAGGAATGTGTGTTAGAGATTCACCGTTTTGTAATTTCTGCTGACAAGCCCTCTGTGAGTCAGGAGAGTGGAAGCCTGACTTCTTTTCAACACCCACCACTGCACGTTGGATGCTTATTCTACACATCATACCACATAAATCTTGCAACAGGGCCATGAATCAGTTACCACTATTATCCCCCAATGTGTACACTAAGTACCTGAAACCCAGAGCGTGTCACAGGCAGGATTTGCACACAGGTCTGTGTGACTTCGGGTCCTGTGCTTTTTGAAGCCATGATTTTTAAAAAAGGACCTCCGTAGGTTCTTAAGCATGAGGCGTGCTACCCTAGAACATTTGTGACCCAACCGTCTGAGCTGAAACAAGGCAAGCTCTGTGCTCCCATTTGGGGAAAGTTAATATTTCACATGCTCTCGAGAATTTAGGAGCTTGGTAAAAACTTACTATTAAACAGGGATTTTCTTTAATTCCTTTTGTTTAAAGATTTCATGTGAAACACTCTATGTACTGTGCCTCCCTCTGAGACGTCAGCGGTGCCAGAGACCGTTAGGGAATTTGTGTAAATAGAGAGCGGGCCAAGTGCTGCCCACACAAGTCGTGAGGCTGGAGGCTGAGCGTGTGCAACAGTTTCCCAGTGAGCGCCGGGCCCCTGTCCCGAGGCTGCATCCCGGGCTTCAGAGCAGGGAGCACCCGGTGCCAGCAGGGGCCCCGCTGCCTTTGTTCTGTAGGTGCCTCAGACTCCATCCGGCCAGGAGCTGAAGACCAGCGTGAGGAAGGATCTTGAACTGTTCACGTAAAAACAGATAAGTTGGCCAAGGACATAAAACCAGTCCGTCTCGAAAGGTCAATATTAATGAATGCAAAATCTTGCTGATTTTTTTTTTTTAAACTGACACTTCCTACAAAAGACAGAAATATCCACAGAGGACAAAAATGCTTTGAAACGTTTTTGAAATGATGGTTCCATGCACAGGGTCAAAGGGTAGAACTGGTTCTTTTCAAGCCTTTTTTTTTTTTTTTTAAGTATCTCAGTTTTATTTAACATTGTTTTGGGAAGGACTACATTCTATTGAGACATCAAGAAAAAAAATACTTTTTTGTTTTTCTAAATCTAATAGGAGCTTAGGCATTATGATTAAGGACCAAAATAGAGCTAAGGCCAATGAATGCCCCCTTTCTTCAGCTGTAAAATTTAATAGCTGCCACAGAGAGTTTTTTCTTTTAATCAGCAAAAAAATTTATTTTGTCCTTGACATTTTGTGCCAAAAATCAGCCTGGAGAGTGTGTTTTATAGCCTGAGTTGAATTGCTTTGCAGGTAGAGTTTTCTTGTGAGCATTGTTCATTGAATTGGCTCTTTTTTTTTTCTGCATTAGATAGGATGCTGATATCAATTTATTAGACAGTCTTTTCAGTGTTTCTGAAAGACAAAGGAAACTTAAGCAGAGACAGAAGTGCATTATGGGTAAGTGCCATAAGTTCTTATGGAAGACAAGATATGGGTTCCAGTGTCCCCACTGCTTCCTAGCTCTGTAATCTTGAGTAAATTACCCTTCCAAGTCAGTTTCAACTTTCAGTTGGGGACTATGACAGTGCCAACATTATCACTCACGTTGTGATAATTAGTGCACGTAAACATTAAGCACAGCCTGGGAACCTATGGAGTGTTCAGCAAATCTTAGTGGTACACAGCTGTGTGTAACTTGAAGTTTTACTTCGGAGGCCTTCTTCTGATCTGAGGATAACAGGAATAGCAGAAAATAAGTTGGTTCAACTCTCTAGAAAAGTACCTAATATAAGTTAGGCAGAGGCAGCATAAATGTAGCTTGAACTCTGGGAAACTTATTTTGTTTCTTAAATATTACAGGTATGCTCTCATTTTATAACAAAGTGGTAAGAAATCCATCTGAAATCTCTTGTCTTTTATCTATTTGTAAAAATAGCTGGATTGGCCGAAACCAGTTTGGCTCAGTGGATGGAGCGTCGGCTTGCGGACTAAAGGGTCCCTGGTTTGATTCCGATCAAGGGCATGTACCTTGGTTGCAGGCACATCCCCAGTGAGGGGTGTGCAAGAGACAGCTGATTGATGATTCTCTCTCATCGATGTTTCTTACTCTCTATCCCTCTCTCTTCCTTTCTGTGAAAAACCAATAAAATATAAACAAACAAACAAAAAAACAGCTGGGTTGATTCATGAATATTGAGCACTTGTTCAGTGCAAGGGACAGAGAAGGCATCATGGAAGAGCTCCAAGGAATGTAAGGCACAATCCCTATGATGGTGGAATTTTCAGGATAACTTGAAAAGTTAAAAAGAAAAATGAGATGGAAGGGAGGGAATGGAGGGATGGATTTGAGCTAATTTTTAAAGAATGGGAAGTAGAGAGAAGTGGGAAAGCCTCTTATAGTTAAGGGTTAATGGAAAGAGCAACATCAGTATAGTGGGAAAGAACAAGGTATGAGAGAAGAGACCTGGGTAGCAAGTGAAGGCTCATTAACATTTAAGGCCACCTTTGAACCAGAAGTGTCTATGTGACTCGACTGAGTGGTCCTGTCCATCAAGCCATTCCCCACCACCAAGGCTCATTGCCTTGGGATCTCTTATCTTCATATCTAAAATAAGGCAAGAGGCAGCTACAGATATGAGGAAGTGCTTTGCTTTTCACTACTATGCCAAACATAGTTTACATACCAACACTGATAATCTGTCAGCCCACCTCTCCTGGACACTTAATCATTTCCCTGGAATCCACTGGAATAATTTTTTCTCTGCATTCTCAAGTATGCTTCAGAGTGTCTGTTTCTTAAGATAAGTTTGCATCCCGTCAAGTGGCATTCCCGCAAAGCTCCAAGGTGGCCCTTGTTCCCCATCTCCTCCTCAGAGCTGGAGTGGCCAGTTATGAATGCTGCTACCTCATTGCCTGTTAATAATGATGTTTGACACTTTTCTAGCACTCACTGGGTGCAAGGCGCTGTTCTGAGTTCTTCATGAGCACTAATTTATGTAATCCTCCAGGATAGAAGACCAGTAGGAGAAAAAAAGAGGTGGGCAGATGCTACATATAGATGGTTAGATAATTAATCATCCATCAGTTCTGCAAATATTTATTTAGTGCCTATGATGTGGTAGGCACCACGATTAAATGCCTATAAAATTAATAAATAGACAGTTGAAGGTTGAAGCAACTCAGTAATCATATCCTAACTATTAGTATGGGTATTTTGCCAGCATACTACATTATGCATTAACTGTTTTTTTTTTATTTAAAAAAACACTTTTTGAGTTCTTGAGAGCAGTGCTGATTTAAATTTTAACGTGCCTATGAATCACCTGGGAATCAGGTGAAAATGCACATTTGGACTTGGAAGCTCTGTGGGGAACCTGAGAGTCTGCATTTCTAGCCAGTGCCTGGGGGATAGTGATGCTGCCCATCCAAATGACCTCTTTAGGGAGCAAGAGTTTAGGGAACCGAGTAAATGACAGAGGAAACACATGTGAAGGCAGGGGCATATTGTCACTGTCACGCCAGAAGAGGCAGCCTACCTGGAGTTGGCCACAGACCCCAGCAGAACACTTCGCATGAATATATTGTTGTTGTTATCACCACAAGCACCTGCAGGAATCTCAGAGATTGGGCCCTCAAGGCCCAGTGACTCGGTTTATAATTTTTAACACGCATTAAAGTTAAAGGCGCAATGTAAGTTGTCCTTCTTAGGGACATGATTTATAAGGTGTGGCGGAGAAGCTGGTGGACTGGGAGCTTGGAAACCTGTGTTTTCCTCGGAGCTCTTTTACAGACGTGCTCTGTAATCCTGCTTAAATTACTTAACCTTTCTGGGTCTTGCTTTTCTCACCTGCAAAACAGACTAATAACACCTGCCCTGCCCACCCCAGGGCTTTGGACATTAGCAGATGAGGTAGGATGTGTACAAGCTATGGAGAACCCAAAGGAGCCGTACAAATATTCATTTTGACAGTTAAAACTTGCCAAAACCAGTTTGGCTCAGTGGATAGAGCGTCGGCCTGCAGACTGAAAGGTCCTGGGTTCAATTTCGGTCAAGGGCATGTACCTTGGTTGTGGGCACATCCCCAGTGGGGGGTGTTCAGGAGGCAGCTGATCGATGTTTCTCTCTCATTGATGTTTCTAACTCTCTATCGCTCTCTTTTCCTCTCTGTAAAAAATTAATAAAATATATTTTTTTAAAAACTTACAGAGGCCTCAGCAATAGGCAGGAAAGAGAGGGTGTCTTATGAGCTCCTATTTTGGTTGATATCTCTCTATGTGTGTGTTTTTTCCCATGGCTCCCATCTATTCTGTATTCATGAGCTGTATAGACCTTCTGATTCTGTCATCTGAGCCTCTGTTTGAATGCTAGAAACCCCAGACTCTCCCTGCTTGTCCTTCCCTACACTGAGCCGAGGAAGGTGGGAAGTGGGGGGAAGGTAACATTTATTGAGCATGTTATGTGAGTATTTTACTTAATCTTCACAGCACTCCTAGGAAGAGGGCATTATTACAGTTTCACATATGAGACACCTAAAGCTTAGATGGATTCATGTGCCTGGGGCCTTATTATGTTCCTCACAGTAAAAGCGAAGCCTTTTCAGTTTTGTAGCTCTAAAGATGTGATTACTTCACTTTCACAAGACTGTAAAGTTAGCAAGCTCTGTGTCTGGTTAGCAGTTCACTTTGTGCATGTTATCCCTGAGATGGATGTCAGGAGTTTAGGATGAAGCCAACCGAGTTGGAGAATTGTTACAGAATTCTCTGCATCCTAAATGCACAGGCCTTCATAAACAGGTCTACAGCTCACCTCTCCTAGGAATAGAGGAGGGCTGCTACTGAAGACAAAGGCTTAGTATTGGAGGAGAAAAAGGAGAAGAAGGAGGATGCTAATAATGGGCTTTTATTGGGTAGTTTTCACGTGCTCTGCAGTAGAGATCACCAGTATAACTTGGTTGTTTTGTGATCCATGTTTTGGAGTAGAAAACACTGGAGACTTAGAGAAGTAAACTTTTTCGAGGCCTAGCACCTCCCAAGTGGGTCAGCCTGGACTTGAGTCCTGGTCTTTCCGGCTCCAGCACTCATGCTTTTTTCCATCTATCACCCTATCCAAATGGGTTAACCACTGTCGTTAGTCATCGGGGTTTCAAAATTGGCAGTGGCTCTCAGTGAAAAAGAATTACTTGAAACATAATAATAACAACAACAACAACTGCCAGCTTGCTCTGCTGCTGATAGGGTCTCCTCGGTCGGCCTTGTCATGTCCCATCATGTCACAGGGCGTGTGAGATCACAGGGCTGAAATAACCCTGGCGACTGATGTAAAACAGATTGCATGTGAACCCATCGGTGGGTTTCCCAGCATGGTGCTTCGGCCCCGCTTCATTTCCAAAGTGCTTGATCTGCCGACGGAGTGCTTGGATCCCTGGAAGAGCTTTCTGCAGCTTCCGCTGGAACAGGATCCCAGCCCTGTGGAATCTTCAGAGAAAGGCACTAATCACTGGAGGAGGCACAAAGTCTTACTAGTTTGAGCTCCTTACTCCCTCTGAACCTCAGTTTTCCCGTCTTTTAAGTGGGGATGATAGGACCTCCCTCTCAAAGTTCTGAGGGTTAATTGAGCCAGTGGTGCCAGATCCATGGCGGTACACAGTCAGAGAGGTCCATTGTAGCTTACTTTCTTCTGGATTATATCATCTTTGATTTTTCTCTTTCTTCTGCTCTCACATCCATCAGCACATTCTGTCACTTTATCTTTAAATTATGCCTTGAGTCTGTTTTCATGCCCAACTCTCCCTTTAGTTCAAAGCAGCCTTAGTTCTACAATAGCTTTCTACCTGCTTGTATGTCTGCTTGAACATCCAGAGTGATTTTTATTAAAATACAATCAGGATCATGCATTTCCTTCCTTTAAACCCTCAGTGGTTACCCACTGTGTGTAGAATCAATCTGTACCTCGTTACCCTGCAAGTTATTACCAAATCTGGTCCCTGCCCACTATCCCACCTTCACCTCATGTCCCTCATCCAGTCATGTGACCTTCTCTTCATGGCACAAATGTGCCAAGCCCAGGGGCCTGTGGGCCTTTGTACTTGATACTTGTGCCTGGAATGCTGTCCACAAGAACTTAGCAGGGCTGGAACTGTCTTGTCATTTGAAGAGGTCTCTCGTCTTCTCAACAATGAGAATGTCCCTTCCATTTAATTACTTCCTAATACATTACTCTGTCTTAATTTTCTTCATTACTCATCACTACCTGAAATGTGCTTGTTTATTTGTTCAACTGTTTGTAGTTTATCTCCTCCCACTAGAAGGTTAGGTCCAAGACTCTACTCATGATCCATGCCTCATTCCTAGAAAAGTGCCTGGCATCTGTGAAGCACTCAGCAAACATTTATTGATTGAATGGATGTGACCTTTATTATAGACATGTTAAAAATAAATATGAACAAGTGAAAAAGTAAGAGGAGGTCTTTCAATATTTATCTTCAACTTAAGGCTTGGGATTCATTGATCATGGATAGGCCCAGTGGGAAGAAGTGAATGGAGGGAGCAGTCCTTTTTCAGAGTAGTACTTGTAGTATGGTAGAGGCCATCTCCCTTAGCTCACTACCTCTGAATGCTTTCATGTGCTCACTCAGTTATTCAACAAGTTTGCTGTGTGCTGGACTGTGTGCTGACAGGTGGGCTTACAGCAGCTAAGGTGAGAGATCTAGGGTCTAACCCTCACTGAGCTTCTATTTTAACAGGGCACACTGGCATTACATGCACACATTTTCAGATGAAACAAGTCCTTAAGGAGGAGAACTGTGCCTGGATCCCAGAGAGCATTTTGCAGGAGGGCCTGTCTTGGAGGATGAGGAAGGCCTGCCAAGGGAGTAATGTTTAAACCAAAGGTAAAGGAACCTAACTTTGCCCACATTTTCTCATGGATTTCTTATAGTCAGTCATTGAGGAGGGTACGAAATTGTACATGTTGGGCCAGCAAAGGAGTGCTTTTTTGGGATCCCTCCACCTAGAGGAGACTTTTTTTTCTTCTCTCTTCTTTTTACAAAGTAGTCCAAATGTACTAACAGCAGGCTTGGAGGGATGTAGTTTTCCTACTTGTAGATGAGGAAGCGAAGTAGGGTCATTTGTCCAGTCCATGCCACTAGTAAGTGGATTAGGCTCTTTCTTCATGGCTTCCAGCTCTATACACCTTTAGACAGCTTTAGATGGACCTTTCCTTTGTGATTATGAGAAATTTCGGGTTCAGGACATCCCATCCTGTTGATTTTGTTTCCTCAACCCTGTGGCCTGTTCTGGAGTTTTAGGAGTTAAAAAGTTGGCCGGGGTCCCTTTGAGTCTTAACAAAATGTCTCAATATCCACAGCCCTCTGAGATCTCCTGGCAAGTGAGAAACCAAGATGCAAGTAGGTTCTTTTTCTGCCAGCCAGCCTAATGATTTGGCACTCTGGAGCTGAGTGGTTTTGAACCTTGAGGCTGCCTCTGAGTACCTGCATCCCCGCCCTCGTGCAAGTCACCAAAAACTCTCTGTAAAATGGCCAATACAACCTTATAGAGTCAGTCGGGGAAATGCTCATGAAATTGATCTTGAAGTACTTGGCAATTGCAAGCTTCATAAGAATCCCTGGTAAGAATAATTAACTTACATTGGAGGATGGATTTACTTAGGAAAGCTCCATCTGCAGGGAGGGTGGGCCCCTCTTTCCTGTTGCTCCTGGCACGTGCTCTTCTCCAAGTAACATTTGCTGCAGTCTGGGTGGTTTGTCTGCTTAGAGCCATCCAGAAAAGTCGGTGGGAAAATTCAACAGACCATTGGCACGTAGAGACTGGGGTTGGCACTAGTCACAGTGAGAGGCATTGCTTTTATTAGCAACGGAGTTGCTCTA